TTTTTTTAAGACATTTAAAAACGGCACATTTTAGAGCTGTAACAACAATACCGTGAAATCGTGATATTTTTGCTTAAGGTTATCATTCCATCAAAATCTCATACCGGCCCATGCCTACTATGGGCACAATGGGTCATATTTGTGACGCTCACCCTAGTAGGAATCCAGGAGGGCCATGCTAAATTCCCTTTGTGCCCCTAAAACACCCACTAACACAAACACCAGCACACAATTCTTTATCTTTCACAGCAACTCCATCCAGGCTTCATCACCCACAGTTGTGTTTACAGACACACACGCACACTGATATGATTCTCATGCTGACATGCTGACATGTGTAGGCATGTAGATCTGGTATTTGAATGCATTTAAGATGAAAACAAATCTGTGGTGATGTTCTTATGTTCTTATGTGATGCCTACCTTTGGTCGTGGTGGTGTTATGCGAGAGGATTTACCTGGTCATTGGCATACTTGGAGTATCTTTAATGCAGCATAGGTGCAGTCCTGACGTGAAGGTCTGTTTCAGAATGTAGATAACTTATGCAACAAGCTCAGTGAAAATAATGTATGCAGACAGAGAAATTAATTAAATTATCAGAAATATTGATTTAAAAGTCTAAAAAGTTTAAATATTTTAAGTATCAAACCATTAACTTGAACCACATGTGTCCACACTGTGTATCACTGCCGATTTTTGTGTCCAATGCTGCTCTTTCACCTAATGTTATATCTGTATTGGTTTTTATGGCAACGTTGTGTTGGTATGCCTATGCTAAAACACAACAACAGCATTACAGTTTGCAATACAGATGTTGAACATGTTTCCTTAGCACTGGAATATTACATCCTTATGAACCAACGGCAGAAAAGCTGGATTGCGCTGCTTTTTCCGTGCTGGTGTCTCTGCCGGCCTCAAAACTCAAAGAGGTGTGTTAGATCAGCAGTGTAATTTTCTGCTTGACTTGCAACAACACAACCTTGTTTCTGCAAAGACATTCAGCATGTTTTCTACAAACAATGTCTGACGTGTTTACATTTTACGGGGCGTGAGGCAAAAAAGCTAGGGAAAAATCTGATCACAGCGGTTAGACTGAAATGGATTTCCAGAAATGCTGTGTGAATAAAAGTTCAAAGCACATATCAATGTAGCTTGAAATAGATTTGTAAAATTTTTTTTTTTTTTTTGCCATTCACTTGCTTAATATGATCAGATTCCAGTCAGATATGCACAAAAATAAGATTTGGACAGGCACACAGACATTTGTTCTGTGTGAATGACCTCTTAGAAGGCAGCCTATACAGGCAGCAGATAACAATGCTATTAAAGGTGCTGAAAAAGATCACTTGTGTGTATTGAGTGCACTTTGGTGCTAATCTCTCCCTCTCTCTCTCCCCCTCTCTCTCTCTCTCTCTCTCTATCTCTCTCTTTATCTCTCTCTCTCTCTCTCTCTCTCTCTCTCTCTCTCTCTTTATCTTTCTCTGGGGCTGTTCAGGGTAATATGAGAATCCCAGCAATGTGGGCAGGAGTCCTGCATGTTTTCTTTCAGCAGGATCACTTCTCTCCTTTACAGGCTTTCATTTGACAAATTCTGGCTGACTAAAAACTGCCATAGGAAGGATTAGAGTGTAGGTGTGTTAGTGATTGTGCCAGTGTTTTGTGTTCAGGGTAATATGAGAATCACAGCAATGTGGGCAGGAGTCCTGCGTGTTTTCTTTCAGCAGGGTCACTTCTCTCCTTTACAGGCTTTCATTTGACAAATCCTGGCTATATTATTTTGTTTCTTGCTTTATTCAGTGCTTAAAATAGTTTTTTGATTCGAGAGCAGGCAACTCATTTTGTTTGTCTCTTTCAACAGTGGAACGGTATTGTCAGAATCTTTGTCCACTAGGAAGTGAGCAGGACTCTTCCGTGTTGTAGCTTAAATCTCAGCCAAAGGACGTGTAACTGGAGTGAGATATGATGGATGATCTGGACTCTTTGCAAGACTCCAAAGCTGAACGTATTGCCCGCTACAAGGCAGAGAGAAGGCGGGAGTTGGCTGAAAGGTATGCCAACTTGGAGGAAAGTTCATCCCTATATACACAGAGGGAAAACAAACGGGAAACCACAGATACCTCTGAGCTGAAGAAGACAGATGTTTCCTCTGTACTAAGTCAGTACAATAAAGATAGCAGTGCTCTGAGCAGGCAAGGAGACCGGAGCAATTCTGAGGCAAAAACAGAGGCCACACCATTCTCTAACATCTTCGTTGGCCACAGCGACGAGAACAACCAAGTAAAATGTTCACGCCAACATCACAGGTGAGTTTGAGTCTCAGTATAATATACTGCAATGCTAAACATTGTCCGTTCAGAGAGTAACACAGATCTCATGTTTCACTGCTCAGTAAGTTCAGACTGAGGGCTCTTTGAACTTACCCATAGTCAGGGAGATTTTTACATCTTGGTTTTAACTTACCAAAGCGGAGTCAACATAGTGTTTCTCATTTATGGGCAATTACAAACATGGATATTATAAGCAAATGTGCAGGGGTTCCAGATGAGGGAGAGGATTGCTAGGCAGCACCAGTCTCTAAGTTTGGAATGTTCTTGTTTGAAGGACAGAGTAGAACTTTCTCTTCCTTGTTCGGTGCTGATTCTCTGTAACGATTAACCAATTTAAATTTTAAAAATCCTCAATTAAAAAATAAGAAAAATCCTCAACATTTGAATAATTCGATTTATACATTCATAAAATAACTGGTTGATATTTTATGTTTAATATATAATAATATTTATATTTAGAGAATTGTAATGAAATAAGAACTGGTAAAATTGTGGATCGGTAAAGGTAAAATTATTTCAAGATGTAGTCTATAAACTAATGGAACTTTTACATTACATTAATTAAGATTACCTAATCTAAACTAGTCGATGGTTTCCTCCAGATTTGGTGTCTTAGGTTGTCCACAATTTTGGTTTATTATCAAAGTGATTCACCACCTGAAAAAGTTTGTGAACTTCTGGTTTATGCTGATGTATGCTGTGCTTTATTGCAGGCCTGACATTTGTAAGAAATGTTTTGTATCTCGAAGACAAATAAATATTTTGAAAGAAATTAATACTGAATACCACCGTTCTGTTTACCTTTTATTTGATTAAAGTTCTGTGATGTATTCGCTTGATTTTGTTGACTAACAATGTGTCACATTTTATCAGTACCTTTCCAAAGATTCAAATTGCTAGCGTAAACAGGAGAGTGGCATGTTGAAACTGTTCATTCTCAGACTCAGCCATTACATGTCAAACCAGCCAGTCCTGCCCCGGCATGTCACTGTTTAGTCTTTCATTGTCTGCATTGTAAAGGTCAGTAAGACCTGGGTCTTATCTAAATGTGAAAGTAAAACTGGACGGGATGTTGAGTATCATTGATAAGGGCCAAAGTGGATGACTATGTGATTTATGAGTTGACACTAGTCTTCAGCTATTTACTCCGGTGTTTTTGAGTGTCAGTGAAATTGTGTGCATCAGATGTGCTGGCGGTAAGCTTGATCTGACAACATGATATTTAGCTTTGTGTCTGCTGACACAGAGCCTAAATTAACTGCACAAGTTGTTCCCTTACTGCTACATTGTGAAGCACAATGGAAGCTAGTAGTTAACTAAATGATTTCTATCTGCTTTAGTCTTCCGTTTAACTTTATTTTCCTTCTCTTTTTTTAGACACGAGTTGTTAAAGAGTGAGCGACCTTTGCCTCTAAGGTGTTTTCTTCCTTTTAGCTACAGCATTTACGTCAAACACCTGTAATTTGCATTCCTTCAAATCTTCCAACCAGACAACACTACTTACTACTACCAGTCAAAAGTTTAATACTTTTTATTTTTCTTGATTTAATTTTTTTTATCTAAAATTATGCTATTTCTGAATGTAGTTTCAAAACTAACTTTAAATGTACAGGATGGAGCAGGTAGTAAACTGTTCAGCATCAGCATGTCAACTTATTCAGTTTAATAAGCATCCACCTTATTCTGGACATAAAATTAAATAAGATCAAATTAAATATATAAGATGTTAAGATAAGGCAAAGGTAAACTTGCATAAGGGTTTTTGGTTACTATATTATTTGCATACTTCAATTGTTATTTAATCATTTTGATGATTTTGCTATTTATTTAAACTGTGGAAAATATTAATAGTGAAGAATGAGTAGATGTGTCCAAAGTTTTGACTATTATAGACCTTATGTGCACAGTTAAATCAACTCTGCTCAGCGTACATATTGTCTCAATCTACAGAGTGTTAAAGTAACATTGAAGCAGAGTTACCATTGTTGAGGATTATGTGATACATTTTCATGTCTAATAGCCTGAGCAGTAGTTGTTCATCATTGTCAACATTGTTAACAATGGGGTTTCTTTACTAATGCTCACTCATCAATTAATTAATTGCTTAATTATCCCATTAACTTTAACTCGGCTTCAGTGTTAATTTAACACACTGTAGATTGGGACAATATGTACTCTGAGCAGAGTTGATTTAACTCTGGGGATTTTGCCGTGTGTCAGAGAAACAAGTCAGGTGCCATCTTTAGAATTTTTGTCTTTAAACTTCTCTTATTGTGGTAGCTCTATAGCATTACCGTTTAAGAGTAATTAGCAGTTGACGTGCATTTACTTATTGTAGAGTTAATGAAAGTTATCATGTGCATTGTAATGTTCGAAGCGGATGTCATAAATGTCAGTAGACCAGGAAGATTTCCAAATGAGCAGTTCGTTCATAAATTCTTACAAACTTACTTACCTTCACGTATATGGAAATACAAACAGAAGACAATGTGCGCAGCACTGAAAAGGGATGGTCTATACAAAAGGTCTATAAATTAACAAAAAACTTAATAAAAGCTGAAATTTGTAGGGGTTACTTGATCATCTGTTCTGTTTATACAACAGATGCAGCCATGTTGGGCTAACAATCTGACACAATACCTTGAGGTAAAGGAAGGTTAAAAATACATGTTGGAATGTTTTAATATTTTATATTATTGCAAAGCATAAACTGCCCTGAACTGCTGTAGAGTTTAATTAAAAATATGATATATATATACTAAATGAGATGATGTTTTGATTGCCCCAGGGATGGAAAAAAATGAAAGATCTCATCAAAATAGACTCTAATAGAGAGGTGCTAAAGCCAGTGTTCTGTATATATGAGGAGAACAAAGCAGCATGTCACTGGGTTCTGTCTTCTGAAAACTCATCTAGACTAATGGGGCTCAGCTGCAGGCTGTTCTTTATGAATGAATGAGTTGGGTCAGGCTACATTTCAACCCCGCACCTACTCTTTCATCAAATGTTTTAATTTTCCCTGTTCTCTCCTATGTTCTCTCTCGCTTTTTTGCCGTCTTCCATTGTAAACTAATGGAGTATGTTGTTAGAAAGTAGTGAAAAATGACAATTTTGTCATTGTTTACTCACCCTAATGTTGTTTCAAAACTGTATGCGTTTTTTTTTCTTCTCATGGGACACAAGAGGACAGCAACAGTTCATGGTCATCATGAGGTGTCAAGTTCCAAAAAAGCACCATAAAGATGGTCCATCTGAAGTCTTCTGAAGTTTTAACATAATTTTAAATCATTTAAATTTGGTCATCTGTTCCTCACGTATTAATCATTCCCTCTGCAGCAGCTATAAAATCAGATTGGAATGTTACTCTGTTATGTAACACCATTATGTGGCATCATACCTGTGCCATAAGCACCTTGTGGTCATTATGAACTTATGAAAAGATTTTTGAAGTCTTTGCAGTGAAACACAAAATAACTTTAAAGAATCTTCAATAACAGCAATATGGTTTTGAAAGGACATGACTGTAAAAATGATGACCAAACATTTTTTTATTGCTTCAAAACCTGTTCATACCATGACTAAACACACCATGACAGTTTATGATATTAGCAAACAATGGGTCTCATTTATTAAGCATGCATACGCACAAATTTTCATGAAATGTGTACAAACATTTTCACAAACAAATCATGATTCACCAAAAATGTTCATGATTTAAAAAAAAAAAAACTAGGACAAATAAGTCACACATTCAAAAAGCACTCAGGGATGGAAATTATATTTATATGTATGAAAGTTTGTCATTGCTTGAGGATCTTGCTTCACATCTTTCGAGAGTGTCATATGTTTGCTGTGAGTGATGAAAGGCTGTTAATAAAATGTTGTGTGGACGTCCCTTATATGGAGATGGTTTGGGTGTGTTTTATGCAAACTGATAACCTAGGACACACACGGTTGCTCATTTAGAATATTCCATATTCACTAACAATTGAACAAGGTAAAGAACACATTTGTATCCATGTGTTGTGAATTAGGTGGCTTTTTGTTTTTTTGTGAGGTTTAATCCTGTGCATACAAATATAAATAATCCACATAATTATTAGTGAATGAGAGCCAGTGTTTGCACCAAGTATTTACACTATACAGTATATCCAATGTATATAAATATATATTATCAATTTAATTCATGTAAATTGTCATGCGTAATTTGGTTATGTCTTTTATATTAAACAATTGTAATATGATTGCATTGTAACTCTTGCATCTCGTGCACTTTATACCCTTGAACAGCAGCATACAAAAACCACACATGGGAATAATTAAACCCAGTAATAACGCTGAAGCCTCAACTCCTTTTCACCACCTTAATTTTATTTAAACTTTTATTTAATTTTATTTAAAGTGCTAAAGTGATGCACAATGACTGATGGGTAAATTTCCCATTCCACTTCCTGTGAAGTGATTTATCAATGTTCCCTTATTCCCTATGCCATCTGAAGTGCCCTTCTAAATGAAATCTCACTTGAGATGGTGGAATACCATATGAAATCTACTTCACTTCCACTTACTGTTGGAGCACACTTCTAGACTTGCTGTTTAGCTGCAGGTGATATCAGTGGGAAGGATATTCATTCACAAAAAGCTGTATTCAATATTTTTGCTGATTTCATTTGATTTTTTCCTCATCATGGGCATTTATAATGTGTGGTGTATGCTTTCTCATGTGTTTATCTATCATGGAGTACCCATACTTATATAACTTAAAGGGTTTGTTCACCCAAAAATGAAAATTAGCCCACATATTACTCACCCTCGAGTCATCCAAGGTGAATATGACTTTCTTCTTTCAGACGAATCCAGTCGGTGTTATTTAAACAATTGTCTTTGATCTTTCAAGATCTTTATTTATAACTCAGCGGGTGTTGCATGCATCAGTCCAGAAGAAGTTAAATAAAAAGTGTCTCACACGACTCCGGGGGGTGAACAAAGGCCTCCTGTAGCGAATCGATGCGTTTTTGTAAGAAAAATATCCATATTTAAAACGTAATAATCACTTTAATGTAGCTTGCGTCCTACACAGAAGCAGCTCTAGGCGGATGACGTATGAGGTCAGCTTTGCGCAGGGCAGAGATCAAAACAAAACACCAGTCACTTATTAGAAGTACAAAACGAGGATTTCGATATAAGCCAAGAGGAGACTGGCTTTCCTTTGCTAAAGTAAGGAAATTTTGTTTAATTTGCTCCTGTTAACAAACGTTGGTTTTCACGAGTCTCACCGGCGTATGCGCAACACTGAACTCATACGTCATCCGCCCAGAGCTGCTTCCATGTAGGACTGTTGGCGCAAGCTACGTTAAAGTGATTGTTGTTTTGAATATGGATATTTTTCTTACAAAAATGCATCAATTCGCTACAGGAGGCCTTTGTTCACCCCCCGGGAGCCGTGTGAGACACTTTTTTTTATGGATGGGCACTTTTTATTTAACTTCTTCTGGACTGATGCATGCAACACCTGCTGAGTGGCACTAAACAGCTTGAAAGATCAAATACAATTTTTAATATAACTCTGACTGGATTCGTCTGAAAGAAGAAAGCCATATACACCTAGGATGACTTGAGGGTGAGTAATTTGTGGGCTAATTTTAATTTTTGGGTGAACTGACCCTTTAAGCAGGACAACGGAAGTGCAGTGAGGGGCGGCAAAGCAGAGAGAAGGGCTTCAGGTGAAGCTGTGTCATCATTTGTTTGCTTGCCACATATTAATTCATGAACTTATTAGTCATTGCCTTTCTCTCTCTCTCTCTTTCACAGTCTGCTGGAAGTAGAAGAAGCCCAGAATCCACAGGGTAAGTTTCATTGATTTCAAAGAGCCCTATTATGAAACACCGAATTCCTTTCTCTCGCCTCCATTGTGCCACACTCTCACTTTTTAAAGAGGACAGTTTTTGGCCTCATTAGTAGTACATGAATCCGCCTTTATCCAAAGTAGTCTACTGCAATTTAAATGGCACTTCTGGTTTAGGAAACTTCAACTCAAAATGACAGCAGTTTTACTGGAATATTTCTAAAGCTGGAAAATACGACATTTATCTGTCAACATGAGAGATACCACTTTAAAATATCGAATAGTGTTCCAGTAAATGACTGTACAATTTTGTTACATAGTATGGACTTACATATTACTATACAGTAATATTTACAGTAACACATTCATAATATTTCTGTTGAAAGCCTCACCCATTTGGGGTTATTCATGGTCAATTCATAGTAATTTGTTAATACTCCCATAATTTGCACAAAGCATCATGGGGTGTAGGAAGTAGGTGTATAGAGTAGCTCCTAAACTTGGCACTTGGCACACCCATGAAAGTAATGTTGAGTGTGACAAAAATCAAAGTGTTCAAATCTGGAAACAGTAAATGCATCTCAGCTGACAACTTGTGACTGGTTCACTGAAAAAGCACTTCATAGCCTGGAAACAGTGTTTCTCTCTCTCTTGCTTGGTTTCTGGTATATTGTATATAATTTGTCGCTATCAATATGCGTTAGATTTCCTTGGAGAGTTAGGATGAAGTGATGTGTATGAAACCATGATCCGCACTCACAAAATAGTCTTCTTTTAACATTTTATTTTTATTTTGTTTTATTTTGCAGTAATGTACTCATACAGCTGGAGAGAATCTAGTGAAAAAATAAACAGCCTCACACAGATGTACACAGTTGTATACAGCCATCCTGGTCCCACTGAGAACTTGTTCAGTTTGAAGTGTGTGATACTCAAAGTAGATCCAGGCCCTGAATGGCTTGTACAGCACAATCTGGATTTTTTTATTTTTTTTTAGGGAATTGAGTTTCTCTGTTTAACATTTGTCTATACCAACAAATACTGAGTTCTAAGTATGTTGCGTCTTATTTTTTTCACGGTGTGTCCTAGGGGTGCTCCGATCAGGAGTTTTGAGGCCGAACGCCGATCGCAGAAAGCAGTATCTGCCGATACCGATCTTTTTAAAGCCTTCTTTTTATCATTTATAACTATTTATAGTGATACTCCAATCAGGATTTTTAGAAATTTATTCAGGGCCTGAATTTTATTTTAAAAAAAGGGGGAATTCCCCTCTTAGGTGTCTCTTGTCAGAGGGGATACAGCACGGACTGTGCTGTCACACAGGAGTCCGCTACTGATCCGTGGCTGTTTACCACAAACACAACATTTATCCATTATTTTGATTTTAAATCTGTCACTGAAAGTGTTTTTTCAGTATTGCAATTATTTTTTTACACAGTACAGTAATACAATCTTTCACAGACATTTAACAATAAATATAAGCAACACATTATTCAATGCTTTTTACTTTTGCATTTACTTCTAGATTTATATATTAAGTTGCTCACGCAAGTGGCAAAACATTTAAACTACTTTTCTTACGTTATCACAAACTTACCATTGACAGAAATAGTCAGCTCTACTGCCTTTTCTTTTGCATTTAAATCTTTATTACAAGCAATCCTGTGGTTCATAAAGAATGTTGTTTTCCTACCTCCACGAGTGCCATCTATTATTGCCTTGTTTATCTAAAAGTGCTCTTTCCCTTTAAACCTAGCCAAAAAGCCATATGTGTTGACTGTAAAACACAGTAGACTTTAATAATATGCATTTATGGTGTAATTACTACATTTTTGTGTCAATCCATGTTCATATTTACTGCAAACAATGCGCTGTTACTTTAATTCAGCGCTTGCAGCGCAGCAAACATGGCAAACCGAAACGATCGCTGCACTGCTGTAGATGCACCGCTCTTCGAACGCACTGCCGTACAGCAAACGTGCGCATTGCACACTCTTTATTAATCCATTAACATGAGCGCGGAAAAAATACACACCACATATGCATTGCAAACGGAGTAATGTGAACCTGGCGTTATGTGTGTGCACTGCGAGTGTGCATCAGGAGAGCGTGCGGGCGCTGAATGGTTAAACACTGGCAAGAATTAAAAACTAATGCAATTTATAAATTTAGTGACGATGTGACACTGCCTCGATTGTGCAAGTGACAATTCCTGTGTCAACTGTGCAGCGTGCAGACAGCTCACTTATAGACAGATGCGATGTAGTGATTTGAAGCCATTTGTGTATTTTGAGAGAGAAAAAGAGCGTGCGCGGTGATTCACTCACTTTCAATCATTTTCAAATGACTTTATAAGTTATTTAATGAAGATATATGAAGGTGAGTACCTCACCTCATCAGCTTGAGATCGTTTTTTTGAGATCGGCCTTTTTAGAGACAATCATCTCAAAGCGATTATCGACCAATAGTGATTGGTAGCCGATCAATTGGAGCACCCCTAGTGTGTCCTTATATGGCAATATAGACGCCCTGTTGTTCTAGTTTTTATTTTCTTTTTCTCTTGTCACTTGTTCATTATATAGTTGAGTTGTTAGGTGGCCAAATAAAATAAAATGTTTATTTAGTTTAGAGATGCACAGTATATCAGCACCACATTGGTTATCAGCTAATATTAGTTTTGTTTTTTTGTTTATTTTAATGGTGTTAGATTACGTCTCCATTTACTATCGTAACCTTGATGTCTCGTTCCCACTCTCAGGGAACCGAGGTTACGATAGTATCTGAGCGTCTGCATCACGTGAAGTCGATGACTCAGAAGACAGGGCAGAGCGCGAAACAGGTTGCGCTCTGAAGGGATTAAATATGGATTTAGGCACGTAGCCTGGTCTAGGCTGGAGAATGATACTGCAGTCACCGGGTCCAAAGCGAATACAATCGCTGTCCAAGGGACTCGAGATTTTAGCCATAATTGCAGTGGGCGCATGTGTAGTAAACCCAGATGACACAACGCTGATGCTGCTGCCATGAGTCACAGCAGCCTCTGAAATTACTTCAAGTGAACAGAGCTGCCCAGTCTGAAATGGTGCAGGGAAGACAAAATGGCCACCGAGTGCTCCCAAGAGAGGCGGGCACGCATCTCCACCGAGTTAAAACACCCCCAGATATGTTATAGACTGACTCCGGGCAAGAATGCTCTTCTGCATGTTGACACATAGCCCTAGGGACTCCAAGTGACGAAGCAGCCTGTCTATAAGGCTGACTAGAGTGTCCCGTGAATGAGCTAAAATCAGCCAATCGTCCAGATAGTTGAGAATACACATCCTGCTCACTCTGAGGGGGATCATGCTGCATCCGTGCACTTCGAGAAACTGCGTGGGGCTCTAATCAGCATCTTGATATGCCACACCTGTGAGGTGGATGGATTATCTCGGTCGCAAACGCTTGATTGCAGTTGTTGCTGCAAAGATTGGCACAACCAGTTATTAGATTTAGGGGGCAATTACTTTTTCACGTAGTGCCAGGCAGGTTTGGACAGCTTTTTTCCCTTAATAAATGAAATCATCATTTCAAAACTGCAGTTTGTATTTACTCAGGGTATCTTTGTGTAATATTAAAATCAGTTTGATGATCTGAATCTTTTAAGTGTGACAAATATGCAAACAATTAAAAAAAACAGGAAGGGGGCAAAAACTTTTTCACACCACTGTGTGTGTGTGTGTGTGTGTGTGTGTGTGTGTGTGTGTGTGTATATATATATTTTTTTTTGTGTGTGTGGAAACGGTGATGTGTCCTCCTTGCTGAATAAAATTTATTAATTTCTTTAATTTTTTTGTTTTGATTTTACTGAACCCAAACATTTGAATGGTAGAGTGTATCGGGTGAAACTGGATATTTGATTGTAAATGCTCTTTTCTGCTTATTTTTACATTTATATTACTTATAAGTTAATCTTTATTAACACTGCAAATTTAATACTTTATATCATCTTTTGTTGTCTCAAAATGAAAATATTTCCGTATTTTCATTTATACTAGTTTGATGCCTAAATTGATCTGTAGCTTTTAAAACAAATAATTAAATGTTTAGTGTGTTTAAATTTTTTAACACAACATAGTATAGATTAGTAATTTTGGCCATTTATTTGTTATTGGGCATAGTATTACAATAAATTAGTGGCTTTTGTGACATATTCAAAGTGTAGGCGTTCACGTTAAGATGAAAGTGAAAGTGAAAGTGAAGTGACGTGTGACCAAATATGGTGTTCCATACTCGGAATTTGTGCTCTGCATTTAACCCATCCAAGTGCACACACACAGTAGTGAACACACACACCCAGAGCAGTGGGCAGCCATATTGCTGCAATGCCCGGGGAGCAGGTGGGGGTTTGGTGCCTTGCTCAATGGCAGTGTTGCCAGATTGGAAATGTCCAAATATCGTACCCGAAGCTCAAAATTATCGTATTTGGAAGAAAATGATTGTACACGAGTCAAACGTACAGAATACAGCTATTTGTGAAGTGAAGTGAAGTGTGGCCAAGTATGGTGACCCATACTCGGAATTTGTGCTCTGCATTTAACCCATTCAAGTGCACGCACACAGTACTGAACACACACCCAGAGCAGAGGGCAGCCATTTTTTGCTGGGGCACCCAGGAAGCAGTTGTGGGTTCGGGGCAATCCCTGCCGGACCTGAGACTCAAACCCGCAACCTTTTGGTTACAAGTCCGACTCTCTAACCATTAGGCCACGACTGCCCACTCTTAAAGGGATAGTTCACCCAAAAATGAAAATTAGCCCATTGTTTACTCACCCTCAATCCATACTAGGCGTATATGACTTCATTCTTTCAGATGTATCCAATCGGAGTTATATTAAAAATTGACTTTGATCTTCCAAGCTGTTTAATGGCAGTCAGCGGGTGTTGCAGTTCATCAGTCCAAAAGAAGTGAAATAAAGTGCATGCATCCATAATAAAAAGTGCCTCACACGGCTCCGAGGGGTGAACAAAGGCCTCCTGTAGCGAATCGATGCGTTTTTGTAAGAAAAATATCCATATTCAAAACGTAATAATCACTTTAATCTAGCTTGCGCCAACAGTTGTACATGGAAGCAGCTGAGGATGATATAAGATGTCGGTGTTGCGCATGCGCTGGTGAATCTCGTGAAAACCACCGTTTGTTTATAGGAGCAAAGGAAGCAAAGTTTCCTTACTTTAGTCTCCTCTTGGCTTATATCGAAATCCTCTGACATTCTTCTTGACAAATCCTCATTTTGTACTTCTAATTCGCCCGGAGCTGCTTCAGTGTACAACAGTGAGCGCAAGCTAGATTAAATTGATGATTATGTTTTAAATATGGTTATTTTTCTTACAAAAATGCATCGATTTGCTACAGGAAGACTTTGTTCACCCCCAGGAGCCGTGTGAGACTCTTTTTATTATGAATACGTGCACTTTATTTAACTTCTTTTGGACTGATGCACTGCAACACCCGCTGACTGCCATTAAACGGCTTGGAATATCAAAGACAATTTTTAATATAACTCCGACAGGATTCGTCTGAAAGAAGAAAGTCATATACACCTAGGATGCCTTGAGGGTGAGTAATTCATGGGCTAATTTTCATTTTTGGGTGAACTAACCTTTTAAGATCAGTAACACATTCAAGTAAATTGGGTAAATTTTGCATTTATAATTTGTGACTGCTTGAATTAATGAGGTGATGAATTTGCAGTAACCAACAACCACAGCTACGTGTCGTGTAAGAACAATCACATTTTTAAGCCGCATGAAGTATGATTACTCTTGCCAAATCTGATAGTGGCCCCCAAGCCATGTAATTCGAGTACCCCTGCTGTATGGGTTGGTTTGATTGGTCACAGTTGCTGTGCTGTGTTCTCTGACCTGCTTTAAAGTGCTTTGCAGTGAGGTCATTCATTTGAATGTGTAAACTTTTAGGATTTGTCCCATCATTGGCATCTCTGGAGGAGTTGGACATTTTTGTGAAGTCAGCTGGCATTTTACTGTAATATCAACCCACGCTGTGATGGCAGTCTGGTTACCATTTAGTCAAAAACAGTAAGGTTTCATCAGCAATAATCCTCAGTGTTGTGTGACTCACAGACTGCCCCTATTGTTAAACTGGACTATAAAATAAGATACACAAAATTCATCACTGCACTAGGGCAGTGATTATGATCACGATTATTGCTTCTCTCAATTAATTAAGCATTTGCCTATTGATTATTTAACCTAAGTAAAACAAAATGCAGTCTCCTCCAATTGACCATTTTTCTGAATGTGTACTTTCCTGTTGCACAATATCGAAAAAGTAGTATACCAAATAAGTATGATTTTTGCATACTAGTAATCTTGATTCAGTAGGTGAAAGACTCCTGCATGTACTACATCCACTGACATTCTGAAGTGTGCAATCACTGGACATTTTTCCATTCCATAAGGACATTGGGAGTTTTGTCCTCTTTTTAAGCTTTTGCTTATCTTGAAAATGAGGATTGATAGCAAGTTGCTAAATATAGGAGTTTTTTTTTCTTGCACTGAAGGAAATTATCAGCTAGAGTATGAGGAATACTAACGAGTTACACAAATTTACAGTACACTCATCAAGAGTGAAGGACTGAGGGGAATCCTGAAAAAAAATGTATCATGCTTTCCACAAAAAAATATTAAGCAGCACAACTGTTTTAATTTTTCATAATTATAAAAAAATGTTTCTAGATCACCAAATAAGCATATAAGAATAATTTCTTAAATATCATGTGACACTGAAGACTGGAGTAATGGCTGCTGAAAATGTAGCTTTATCACAGGAATATATTACAAAATATTAGAAAACCGTTCTTTTAAAGGAGTGGTTCATTGCGATTTCACTTTTTTAATGTTAGTGCGTAATGTTGCTGATTGAGCATAAACAATATCTGCAAAGTTACGAAGCTGAAAGATCAATGCAAACAGAGATATCGTCTTTTAAAATTCTGGCAGTTTAATGCTTTAAAAACGGCTGGTAGGGACTACAACGAGTTACTTCCCGGGTTCGTGTCTGTTCCTCGCGTCCCCCTGCTCTGCACACGCTCTGCATCTCTCTCTCTCTCTCTCTCTCTCTCTCTCTCATTCAGCTCAGCTCCAACAATGAACTGTTCCAATTATACACTTATTTTCACATAGCTATGAGAAGCGTTAAACATGGACGTGCGTGCATTTTCCGTACTGTATTAAAGCTTTAATCAGGATAATACTGTATATTAAAAGCTAACATAAGCAGTAGCATTTACAAATAACAGCGTATCTAAAAGTATGAGACAACAAAAAACATAGGCCTACCATTAAAAGCCGTGCTTGCACAGGTTCTGCACGATCCTCTTCAATAATATCCTCTGCTTCTCAATCGGGCTCAAACTGATAAGCGATAACGACGCCTTGTTTACAGTACAACCGGAGCACATGCTGCTGAGGTGAAGGGCAGGATAGAGGCAGTTTAGCTAATCACAACACACTGGGCTAGCTAACCAATCAGAGCCCATCGCCTATTTCTGAGGGAGGGGCTTCATAAAAGAAGAAAATGATCAGCGTGTTTCTCAGAGAAGGGACAGAGTGGTGTGGAATAAAGGTAAATTATGTGAAAAATAATGCGTTTAAAAAAAACAAAAACGAAGCATTAACACATGTTAGACTGCACCCCATAAACACAATCAAGCCTAGAAAAAAAATCACTGAACCACCCCTTTAAATTGTAATAATATTTCACAATATCACTATTTTTACTGTATTTTATATCAAATGAAGCCTTAGTGAGCATAGAAGACTTAAAATCTTACCAACCGTAAACCTTTGAACAGTAGTGTATGTCTATTAATTATATAATAAAGCATACTAATAATAAACTTGTGTTTCAGGAACTTTAGTAGTACAAACTTACTCAATTTATGTAGATACTACACTTACAGCAGTATGAATTCCTTTTAAATTACATGTCTTCATCCTGTTTTCTCTTCTGTTTTAATTGAAATGGAATTGAAAAAGCATTTTCAGCTCGATTCTGAATGTCGCAAAGCCTTGGTGCTCATAAAAGACTGTATCATCCAAACTCATTTTCGTAGGTTCCCTTTTCCCAGCTGGTCTTATCACGCTCTCACTGAACAGGTGGTTTTCATATGGTCATTTCTTTGAGGTCTGCACAGTGGGTTGATGTCAAGAGAAGTACTTGATGATAAGTGTTTATAAAAGAGCTTTAGAGTGTGTGTGTGTGTGTGTGTGTGTACTGGTATATATGGTTTATGAGGACACAAATGTGTATAATAATATGGGTACTACAATGTAAACATGGTTTATGAGGACACTTCCTGTGTCCCCGTAAAACAAAAGGCTTAAAAAACATACAAAACGGTGTTTTATGAAAATTGCCAGTAGTTTTCTTTTAGGGGAAGGTTTAGGTGTAGGGTTGGTGTAGTAGGGTGATAGAAAATACAGTTTGTATAGTATAAAAACCATTACGTCTATGGAGAGTCCCCGTAAACCACAAATGTGTGTGTGTGTGTGTGTGATGGGTTATTTTTCTACAAACCAAAATGAACTGTGAAACAATCCTCCTGGGAGCATGACTTCACTCAGTATATGTGATATTGTGTGCAGTGTGAGTAAAGTTTGCTTCAGGCACGTTGATTGCTGTGCATTCATGGGCAATTGTGCATGCTCAGACATTCTTCTGTATGTGTGTGTGTTGACAGACGACAGGAAAGCAGATGATGACGCCAAAACCGGTATGCCTGCCAAGACGTCTCTTTTAAAAGTAAGTGCTCTTTATCAGTAAGCACTGTAATGGACATGTGATCTGCCTGTCACCATGTGACATCTCTAATTTTTGTCTGTTTCTCTCAAACAAATGTTGATTTCACTGTCACAGGTATAAAACTATATTTTATAGGAATAGGATTTATAGGTTGATTTGTATTTCAGCACTAGCAGCATCAAGCGGAATTCCAGCTCTTCCTTCTCATTCAAAAACACTGATTTACAAGTTTTAAAGGGGTCATATGATGTTGTTAAAAAGAACATTATTTTGTGTATTTGGTGTAATGAAATGTGTTTATGCGGTTTAAGGTTTAAAAAACACATTATTTTCCACATATTGTACATTATTGTTTCTCCTCTATGCCCCGCCTTTCTGAAACGCGTCGATTTTTACAAAGCTCATCGGTCTGAAAAGCAAGGTGTGCTCAAATTAGCCAGCTATCCAGTGCATTGTGATTGGCCGAATACCTCAAGCGTGTGACGGAAATGTTACACCCCTTACCATATTGTGATGCCGTGTCCCGGAGCGACGAGACAAAAACATTAAAACCCATTATAAACGAGGCATTTGTAGCATCCAGTGGGGACTAGAGCTGGGTATCGTTCAAAAATGTTCAATACCGATACCGATACCGATACCGATACCTTGACTTCGATACCGGTTCCTGAACGATACTTTTTTCGAGACCAATTTTATGAAATCTATTTGAACAAGATTACATTATCTAAAAAAAAAAACTTTGGTTCAAAGACTCATCTCCTGAGCCACTGCACAAAGGAACAAAATGTAACTAACAAAAAATCAGTGCAAATAGTTTTAATGGATTGTTTTGGTTATTTTCTATGAGTTTGTGGATATGCTCGGCTCTGGCAGCTTTTATAGAGCCTGTCTATAGCTGGACATACTGTTTTTCCACGAAATTCAAAAAACTTCCAAGTTAGTTTTTCTCCATTTGCGCTCAAGACTACAAGTTTTTTTCTTGAGAGAATGGGTATTACTGTTGTACCATGGCGCAGTATGTTTTTCGCTAACCTTTTTCAATTTGATGGGGGCAACAGCTTCTAATGTATTAGAGAAGATAGTGCCCATGTTGCTAGTCATTTTGTCTCGTTCATGTGTACTTATGGGTACACAGAGCAGTTGAGATAAATCAGGCAGGTTATTTGTGAATCTGTCTTTGGTGGCTGGAACAATAGTTCTGCCCGGACGATAACGCGGAGCCATATAGTTAATATCAGTAATACGCAGCATGCACGATACAAGGAAATGGTCAGTAACATCATCGCTTTGAGGTACGATATCTATATCAGTAAGATCAATTCCATGCGATATAATTAAATCTAGCGTATGATTAACACAGTCTTTATAGATTGTACAGCGCAAGTACTTCTATCATTTAAGCGGGTAGAACACAAGTCATCAGGGCAGTTATTTGAGATTTGACTTACTAGTCATATGGTGCGTAGCGTCCTGGAGATGTTGTCCGAAAGGAGTTCCGCTCCGACTCTGCTGGGGTGCAAGCCATCAGCGCAAAAAAGCCTAGGACGCTCCTAGAAAAGATTCCAATTATTAACAAAGAGCAGTTTCTGTTCTTTACACCATGACAATAACCATTAATTTAAAGCAAAAAGTCTACTGAACCTTTCGTGTCCTCGTCGATACGTGGGAAGCGGTCCTGACATGATGATCGTCGTCGCGGGTGATGTGCGGTGCACCATCTCGATCAGGCTCCTGAAGTCCTTCTTCAGTGTCTCCGTCTGCCACAGCTTGGTGTCATTAGCCCCCACGTGAAGTACGACCGCTCCGGTGCTCTCGTCGCCCTTCAGGATTGCGGATATCTGCGCATAAACATCGAGAATACGAGCACCAGGGAAACAGTGAGTGTGCACTTTACCTTCAGCTAATGTAGCACGGACGTGCCGGACGATGGAGTCTCCGATGATCACAGTGTCGCGTACCCAGGGTCCGTGGTGTCCCGGCGCCGGAGTGAAGGACATCTGGGAAGATCGCGTCCTGGGTGCACCGGGCCTGTGCAGAGAAACACACGGAGTAGAGGTGGTGGGAGAGTTAGTAGCAGGCTGTATAATTACCTCGGACTTGTGAGCGTCAGCCTGTGATGTTTCCAGCGCAGCTCTCCGCTCTCTCAGCTGGGTCTGCTTCTCCACGGCCTCCAGATCGAGCACCGAATGCAGCTCGAAACGTGCCCTCACCTGCACTCAAAGGTAGACACCCATCTGCCATTAAAGCAAGTAACACTGAGTAAAACAATGGTAATGTGTATGAATAGAGTATTAGCAATGTAAGTGAGATTAGCGGCAACCACTCTGGCGATGCTAACGGCCTATATGCTAATAGCGGACTCTGGAAATCAAAATAGAACTAGTGATAACAAGGCGCTCTGATTGTTTTTGTTGTAGAATACGATAGGGGATATATTCACACGTTATAGAAACGAAAATGATGGTGTATAAAATTGATTTTAAGATAAAAAATAGACGAAAAAGAATTAACTTGATGGAGCTCAAACTCAAAACACACGGCAGCAACAAACAGGAAGTGACATAAGTTGTACTAACTACTTTCGGTTTTTAGAATCACAGGCTCTAATAAAATGCGCTGCACACATCTGAATATTTGGGTTGATCTGTTCTGGAACAGTGTTCGCAACGAAACACACAGCGTCTTCACAACATGGCAGTGGCAGCAACAATAAAGTTATGCCTTCTTGCTTTGCATGAACATTTGGGCGGCGTTATGCAAATCTTCCCACATCGTGTTCTTGACATGTGGAGGCGTGTTAGAACGAGCCGTTTTAGAAAGGCGTGGTTGACTCTTAACTTTAATAAAGAATATCTCTTTGGATTTGAGACTTTAGTCTTTGCAACTTTACAGATCTTCTTTATGCACCAAGAGCTTGTAACACTGCAAAGTATATATATATATATATATATATATATATATATATATATATATATATACATATATATATGCAAACTTATTCTCTGCCAGCAGGAGGCGCTGTTGGAGTGGTAGAGATCAAGGTTTCCCCCGGTAAGGGCTGTACACAAAGCAGGGCTTGCTCAAGAAAACACTGCTCTATCAGACATTACATGCTAAATTAAATGAAAATGACATCCAATTTTCTGAAGACAGTCGGTTTCCTTCACAAATACAGTGATATAAAAACACCCGCACTCAATGTTTGGGAAACACTGTAGTCTCATAATTGAAGTGTAAATTCTGCAGATTACATCATTGTCCAGTATTGTCAGTAATTTATTATAAAAAAAATTTCATAATTGTAACATACATATTTACATACATAATTATTCAGGTGCATGTGTAATAACTTGCAAAAACTTGAGGTTATAGCAGCACTTCTTCTTCGTCGTCGTCTTGTCTGATGCACTCAACCAAGCTTCTAACCACGACCTCGCCCCTCCCCACCCCAGCCATTCGAATTTCCATAGGCGGGAATTATTTTAATGATATTCTAATGGGCCGCTTTGTGATATCACAAAACCCGGAAAACAAACGCTGTAGTCCAAACGAGCCGTTTGTTGTAGTTCTTGAAAAGGGATTTAAAAAACCCCGAAATATCTCCCTTTGGAGTGGACTTTGAGATTTGTACGTTTGAAGATCTTTTTTATGCCCAAACATACACGCTACACACTGACTAAAATTCAAAAAGTGAAAAAGCATAATAGGACCCCTTTAAACCGCAAAAGCACATTTCATTACACCAAATACACAAAATAACGTTCTTTTTAGCAACATCATATTACCCCTTTAACATCAAAATTTTATTAAATTACAATTTAGTTAAACTATAGACTATTGTTAATCTCAATTATTTGTAGCACAATTAATTTTTAATCAGCAACACTCCCTTTCTGGAATCTTGCATATTTAATGAAAGTTACTGTATTTACTGGCTTTACAGGAGCTGAAAAATATAACTTTACACATGTAAGGTTAATAAGTGATTTTCTCTTGTGACATCTCTCGGACATGGTTGTGTTAATGAATTTGGTCTTGGTAGAAAAGATCTGCTACACTGTTGCTGTTAATTGCTGCTACTACAGCTACTGCAGCAGAGCAAGTACAGAGACTTACTACTGCCAATACAACCACATACATACTGTAACATACATGAAATTACCTCACAAAAAGCAGGAGACACAAGAAATGGACAATACAAGCCAATAAATGCATGCTGCTGAGTGTAAGAAAACAAGCTCCTGCATCAGCAGATATGCATGTATCAGCACACATGAACGTAAGCATGACAGGACAGGTCAAAACACACCCCAAACAAGCAGATCTACCACCAAGACATATGTACTGCTGCTGCGCCAAAGAGCCAAGACAACCACATGTTTAACTATCTATGTGTGCCTCTCAATGTGTGCCATAACAGGGGCTGACCCCTTACAAAAATTAGCCATGGTTTAACTACAAATATAAAAAAACAATGGTTAATATAGTTCAACAATGGTAACCACAAATTAACCCTGGTTTCTATGTACTTGAGCTTTTATCTCAGTGCAAACCCTGTCCTATAGACTTTCATTTTAAGTGTGTTACTGTAAATGCTAATCGATTGAGCTTAACTTGATTGAGCTTAACTTGTTTTTAACCCAAAAAAATCCTGTAATGTTAATTAAATGAGTATCACCTCAATTCTCTCCACTCTCAGAGCTTGTGAATCGAGAGCAGTCAAAACCACTTTGACCTCTGTGGTCTCCCATAAGTCCCTTTTATCCCACTGGCCTCATTCAATCTGAAGACAACAACTTTTCCCAGGCACACGTGTTTGCATGCCTAGACCCCTGCAGCTACTCTGGCTCTGCCCAGGCTTTGTTAAAAAAAAAAAAAAAACCTTGTCAAAACTGCCTGGCTCTGAATGGCTAATTGTGAGATTTTGAATGGGCCATCCCCGGAGGATTAGTTTGATGTGGAAAGTACCCATGGTTCCTCACTTTGAGCTTTAAAATCTCTGTGTTCATGTTTTTTCCCCCTTTGACCGCAAGGGGTTGGAGAACACCGACATCTCAGCAAATCCAAAGAAGCAAGCAGAAGACTCTACTCACAGTGCAAATCCACAAAAAGAGCATATAAGTGGGAAGAGGACAGTTTCCACCAGGTAACAGTCAGCTAGTTTAAGTTGTCTAAGGTTGAAGGGTTAGTTCAGCCAAAAATTTAAATTCTGTCGTTTACCCATCCTCACATTGTTCCAAACCTGTATGACTTACTTTCTTCTGTGAAACATAAAGGTATTTTAGAAATGTTTGTGTTTTTGTCCATACAGTGAAAGTCAACGGGGTCCAGTATTGTTTTTGTTCTCCTTTGACTTTTAATGTGTGTGGACAAAAAAATATAAATTTTGTATTCCACTGAAGAAAAAATGCATATAGGTATCATATGATATCTCTTTCATTTGGATGTAGTCCCTTCTGAGGTAATTAACACAAGGCTTATTTGTTGGAGTTTATAATCCTCTGTGTTGGTATAGTTTTGATGTGTTTCCTGCCAGGATGGCAGTGAGTCATAGCAGATGAATGCAAAATGCCTGTTTGTCAGATAAGCATCCCTGTGAAGCCTAAGATGGTGTGAAACCGTATCCACTCAAGATCACAAACTACTTCTCCAGCTCATCCTCAATGTATTTTTTTTGACATTGTGTATTCTAGGTTACGCAGAATGAGCAGAAAGTGAGAAAGAGGCAGTGTTTTGAGGGCACAGAGGAGCCAAAATCCGCCACACCAGTTCTGCAGAGACAGGACTCAGGTCAGCTCAGCATCAAAGGCATCCTGAAGAAGAGCCACTCAACTAGTCTGGACACAGAACCCACTGAGCTGGAGCAGATCACAACTCCTGCCATCAAAACCTGCAAGGAGCTGACTGTTGTTGATGGAAAGAGTGGAAAGAATGAAGAGGTTGAGGATGATGATGAGGATAGAGAGAACAAGAGGCTTCAGAGAGAGGAAAGCAGCTCGAGTGAGACTCCTCGCACTCCTTCCCCAGATTCTGTGGACAAAACCCCCTCCATCTCCCAATCTGTAGAAGGGGAGGAGCTAGACAGCAGCCTGGATGGGAGCACAAGCTCCTCCCTAAAAGAGAGGTATGGTGGGAGTAGTCTTTATAATGTTCTTGAGTTTGATTGACAGCTGTGGTAGCTATTTTTTGGGGATGAGTGTGTGGGACAGTGGGAAAATTAGTTTTTATGCTTAAAAGCATTCCTGTAACTCAAACAGTAGAGATGTGTGAGCTAGCAATGCCAAGGCCATGGGTTTGCATTTTATTGGTTCATTCATTCTCTGAGAATCAATGTAATTTTTTTGGATGAAAGTGTCTGGCAAATGTATTATGTTATGGCTGATGCCAATTCTTTGTTAAAAGTCTTATAATTGGTTTGTAACGGCTTTTGACAGCAATTAATCATTTGACTGTGTGACAGACTACAATAATAAAAACATGTATTATGAACATAATGATAAGAAGGATGATTTATGCACTGTTGTTTTGTGTTTGCAAATGTATTTTAAATAATTGAATGACATTTTTTTTTTCATTTTCAATTGTTTAAAATACTATGCTTAGAAAAGTGTGATGTTGGTCTGAAGATATTTTAAGTAGAAAGTATGAATATCAATAAAACAAAATCAGTTAAATAGATTATCAGTCTATCTAAACTGGGTTTTTTTAAATACCCAGCTTTGAATGAACCGACGGAAGTCCATTAATGGGATGTTTGTTATACCACTGACACAGTCTAAACAAGAAGCTGCTTAAAGCTGCACTCCGTAACTTTTTTTGTGTTCAAAATTTACAACATTTCTATAATAAGCGAGTACAGCATGAATCTATTTTCCAAGCCGTGTTTTTGGCTTGTCCTGAATCACTACGGTACACCTATAATAAGTGTTTATATTCTGACTATTTAGACCGGTTTGGGTAGGTACCGCTGCAGAGTAGCCCAGTACCTGCGTGATTCGCCATAGACATAAACAGAGAGAAGTAGCTCCAGCTACAATGTTCTTCCGCAAAACGCACGCAGTTCTGTTTATTAACCGCTAGAGCGCCAAAAGTTACAGACTGCAGCTTTAAGTAGAAAGTTCACTCTCTACGTCTGTAATGTGTCTGTAATATTTAGCCTCTTTGTTTGGCAGGCTGGCAGAGTTGGAGAGTGGTGATGATGACTGGCGGGGCAAGCTGAAGAATAAACTCACCAATGTGGTCCAGTCGTCCCTGGCTGACCGTTACGTCCAGCTGCAGGAAAGTGAGAATGGCTGGAGGAAGAAGGTACCCACACACTCTCTAAAACAGCTTCCACTTCCACTGTTGGTAGCTGAGGAAAATGGGCTGAATTAACCTATTGAAACTCTTCACAGTACTCAAAACTTTTGTTGTTATGTGCAGTTTGGGGTTCATGCAGTGTCTGCGTTTGTTGGCTGTAAGGTGGAGCCAGCATGAAACAATAGACTGCAGAAGAAGCTCTCTCGATGTGAGGAGGGGTTAGTGGGATGGTAAATCCACAGGGAAGGGTGGGGGAGGAAGAGTTAGTTTCCAGTGCTGAATCAGCAAGTTCTTCTGCTGGGCTGTCCTGCTGAGAAGGGGGTGTGAGCACAGGAGCAGGATTTCCACTCAGCTTTACCAGTTCCTGGAATCTGATCAGCATATCCAGTTACATGTATTTCTAGATCAAGTCACCTTTATTTGTATAGTGCTTTATACAATACTGGTTGTGTCAAAGCAGCTTTACAGTGTCAAACAGGAAAATAGTTTGTCAATAATGCAAGAAGACAATAACAGAGTATTTTTTCCAAATAAAGTCAGTTCATTGATGATTCAGTGATGTCATCATCTAGTTCAGCTGTCTTCCAATAGTGTCTGTGCAGTTAGTCAAGTGTCCCCAACTAAGCAAGCCAAAGGCAACAGTGGCAAGGAACAAGATTACTGTTTTTTTTCTGTATTTTTGATCAAATACATGCAGCCTTGATGAGCATAAGAGCATTCTTTAAAAAGCATTACAAGTCTTATTGATCCCAAACTTTTGAGCTGTAGTGTGTGTGTGTGTGTGTGTGTGTGTGTATGTATGTATATATATATATAATACTTTTTTGCCCCACTGTACATACATACATACATACATACATACATACATACATACATACATACATACATACATGTATGTATGTGTGTGTGTATATATATATATATATATATATATATATATATATACCTGTATATAAAAATAAAGAAGAAAATTACAAACCATAAGACAAATACAATAGATACAAATTAAATATTAAATACACTCGTTTTTCTAATACAGTAGGTTTAACATGTATACATGTATTTAACATATTTTGTTGTTTGATTAACATTAATGAGACAGACAGGTATTTAATTAGGCTGCTGTCCCTTTAAGACCGCATGAACGTAATATTCTGACCGAGCGGCAACCTCCCGCTCTCTCTCGTGAAGCCAACAAGGAAGTGACTTAAACTTTAATTAGTCAACTGGCCGCTAGAGGCTGGCTGCAAAAGGGAGTCAACCCCCATAGACTGCTGTCACCACCATCGAGCTAGGTGGGTGTGGTTTCAACAACCTGCCCATCTTCGATTATCCGGGAGTGACGCGTTGCCAAGATGGCAATTAGTCTATTCTTGCGTGACAGCGACAACACTACTACTACTTGCTATCACCCAGTCGTAAAGAAGTTTTGAAATACGGGACAAAACATGATTTTTTCAAAATAAGTCGGGACACTAAAAATAGAGCTGAAATACAGGACTGTCCCGGGAAAAACGGGACGTCTGGTCACCCTAAGAATGAAGCACTAGATAGCGTGAATGCATTATTTTCCTTGAACAGTACAATCACACAAATTGAAAAGAGTTGGAATATAGTGCATGTAGACTACTTTCATGTTTTTTGGGAAATTGGAATGCTTTTTTGGAATTGTTGTTATATCAAAAGAGCTGTTTAAAGATTCTTCGTTAGTATAAATTTATATATAAAAATAATTTAAAATGATTATTTTATATGTACAATTTATATTATGTAGGCTTAATACATAATAAATAATATGTAGGCTTGGAACAACACGAGTAATTAATGAAAGAATTAAAAATTTGGGGTGAGCATATTTTCAGTACCACTCCTAGTGAGATTTTCTTAAAGGGGTGGTTGATTACGTTTTTTTTACGAACTTTAGTTAGTGTGTAATGTTGTTTTTAGAGCATAAACAACGTCTGCAAAGTTACAACGCTCAAAGTTCAATGCAAAGGGAGATATTTTCTTTTAAATAAATCGCTGTTTAAGGACTACAAAAAAGGCTGGTAGGGACTACAACGAGCTTCTTCCTGAAATGTACATAAACCCCGCCCGCGGGAACAAGCAACAAAGGGAGCAAGGCCATGTTGGGCTGCTTTAGAGAAGAGGAAGAGATGTTGAGGTAAAGTGTTTGTTGCCATGCCGTCAAAAAGCTGTTATTTTCACCTCGATTGCAGGTCCTCTTTGTTGGTTAAAATAAAAAAAATTTAAAATGTATTTTTAACTCTGTTCCTGGCAATTATATTCCCAATATAGCTCTCTGTACTGCACATTTTACGGCACACAGCTTCCTCAATCTACACGAGTTCAATGCCTGTACACTAGATTTTGTTAATAAGCAACCACTTCTTACTTTTACAAATTAAACAATTACTTTACTAAAATGCTACAATTGTGCTGTACTAATGCTTTAATCAGGATAAAGCCATATATCAAAAGCAAACAAACCGCAGCAATTACAAATAACAGTGTATCTAAAAAGTATGAGACCACTACAAACAAATAAACATACCATTCTGAAACGTCTTGTAAGAGCTGCGTGTTTACAGGTTTTGCTCTATCCTCTTCACTAATATTCTCTGGGTCTGAACAATCTGGACTCAAACTGATAAGGCAAAATTGACGCCATTGTTTACCATACACTGGAGCACATGCAACTACCCATAATGTTAAGGAGGCGTGACATTTCCAAACAACGTGCACTAGGCAGTTGGGACTCACAACACACTGGGCCAGCTAACCAATCTGAGACCATTGCGTATTTCTGAGGGAGGAGCTTCATAGAACCAGGAACTCAATAGACCATTTTGACAAGAACAGAAACAGCGGTGTAGAATAAAGGTAAAGG